CAGTATGACATTGGCTGTGGGTTTGTCATAAATACCTCTTATTATTTTGAGATGCATTCCATCAGTACCTAGTTTATTGAGAGTTTTTAGCATGAAGGGCTGTTGAATTTTGTCAAAGGCCTTTTCTGCATCTATTGAGATAATCGTGTGTTTTTGTCATTGGTTCTGTTTTTCCGATGAATTATGTTTATTGATTTGCATATGTTGAACCAGCCTTGCATCCCAGGGATGAAGCTGACTTGATTGTGGTGGACAAGCTTTTTGATGAGCTGCTGGATTCGATTTGCCCAGTATTTTATTGAGAATTTTCTCCTCGATATTTATCACAGAGATTGGCCTAAAATTTTCTTTTTTTGTTTTGTCTTTACTAGATTATTGTATCAGGATGATGCTGGCTTCATAAAATGAGTGAGGGAGGATTTACTCTCTTTCTATTATTTGGAATAGTTTCAGAAGGAATGGTACCAGCTCCTCTTTGTACCTCTGATAGAATTTGGATATGAATTCATCTGGTCCTGGGCTTTTATCGGTTGGTAGGCTATTAATTGCTGCCTCAACTTAAGAACTTGCTATTGGTCTTTTCAGGGGTTTGACTTCTTATTGGTTTAGTCTTGGGAGGGTGTATGTGTCCAGGAATTTATCCACTTCTTCTGAATTTTCTAATTTAGCAAATTTTAATTTATTATAGAACCAACAACTGGTTAAAGGGGAAAGGTTAGACTTTTCAACAAATAGTGTTAGGACGATTAGTTATACAGAAATAATAAAGGAAATTAGACCCTATTTCAAATCATACACAATAATCAATTCCAGAATTAAGGTAAGTTAAAAACTTAAATGTAAAAGGTATAACCATAAAACTCTTAGAAGATAATATAGAAACATTTCCTTATATCTCATGGTAGGAAAGGATTACTTAAGTCAAAAAAACGTTAAGAAAAAGATTGATAAATTTGACCTCGGTAGGATGTAGAAATAATGTTTAGCAAAAGTCATAATAAATGACTGAAAAAATAAAGCTACTTGTTGGTAATGATATTTGTCTCAAATATAATTGACAACGAGATAACATCAGGAATATGCAGACCTAAAAATCAATAAGAAAAGTTTTTAAAAGGTAACATGATTTTTCCTAAACGGAGCGTAGACTGCAAGGACACTTATTGTAGGTTTCATATCTAATATTCATATTTTACATTTTTTCTGTAACATTTTAATCTATTTATTTTAAAAACTATTTTTTAAAGAGAAATCATCACCATGTAGTATGTTATGTGCATTAACAAAACTACACTTAAATTGCCTCTGGTTACAGTGAAGGCTACACCCTCCCCAGCCTGAGTGGGATGATATCAAGAAAGCTTCAGAAAACAGTTTCACTCAAGGTAAAGCCTCAAGAACAAGTAAGTAAATCATTTGGTAAAGAGCATTCTGAACAATAGGAATAGAATGGCCTACTCTATGAGTTCTGAAAAGGCATGGAGTTTTCAGGAAATTTAGGTAACTTGATATGGCTCAAATATAATACACTGGTAAGAAAGGGGCAGAAAATACAGAGAAAAAACTAGGTGAGACAGATGACAGAGAATCTTTCATGCCAGCCGAGAAATGTGGACATTATAGTGTAACACAGAAAGTAATACACAACCATTTATGGATGGTCAACAGCAGAAAGACATAGTCAGATTTAGGTTTTAGATGAATCAGTGGCCTGCTGTGGGGAGAATGAACTAGAGGGGTCAAGACTTGAGGAATGAAAACCAGTTTGGGAATTAATCCAGAGTCCACGAAGGGAAAGTTAAAACTTACATGAATGTTCATTGCCCAACCTTGACTGGTGGGTGGGGAGTAAGGAAAAGAAGGAGTCAAGGATTACTCCCATGCTTTCATCTTGAGCAATTGCAAGGAGAGTGGTGTCATTCAATAGAAAACATGGGAAGAAAAGGGTGAGGAATGAGATGATGTGGCGTAGTTCAGCACATGTGAAAGGTTGGACACCTACTGCAAAGGAGAAGACCAATTGACAGGAAAAAACACCAGTATATTTTATGTGAGTTGGCCAGACAGAGAAGGAAACTAGATGTCAGCAAGAGTATGATCACAATGGTAAGCTTCAGAATTTCCTATAATATATAATGATATAAGATGACATATAATGATGTGATCTGGGCTCAGAATTGGCAGTTAGGGAGATAGGTTTTAATTCTGTCGCTGTACAAGGTCAAAGTGAATTGTAAATAATTAGCAAATCAAATTTATTGATCATGTGCTATGAACTATATGCTGTACATTATTCAAACACATGACAAATATCTCACTTCATTTAGCAAAGGTTATCATAAATGACTGAAAAAAATGATAAAAATAATTTCCATGTTGTGGAAATAAAAACTTCATTTAATTCCAGTGGAAATTCCAGAGGATTGGAGAAGATACTGGTCTTGTTCACATCTGAATCCTTAGCGTCTAGCTAACACATCTGTAGGCATTTAATACATGCACAAAAAATACTTGTTAGAGGAATAAATAATTTAATTAATGACCACCTCTTTACAAGCACCCTGAAAGTTGTGTATTATCTGAACCTTGAAAGTTATGCATCAAATATGAATATAAATATTATTCATATTTCTCTAGAAATGAGAAAACTGAAATTTAAGGAGGTTTACTAAGTCACTTTCTACTGTAGAACATTGTTAAGCAGCCAGTCATCACAACTGTCTGAGAACAAACTCAGGCCAATGTATTTCCGGGTATATCGGAAGTAATGATCTAGCTTCTTTTGTTTGTGGTCCTATTTGACAGTGGTAATAGGAGTGATGAAGAAGACAATTCAAATGATTCAATTACCCCGGAAATGATTGCCATTTTGCATTTTATTTTATTTTTTTTTTATGTAGAGTTAACTTGTGATCTGGCTGCACATGTTCTAATGTAGCATTGTGCTAACTCCACCTCTAGTCTAATATGGTTGTAAAACACATTGTACTGTGGTGTTTTATTGTGTTTTCTTGTGTGTTTTATTTTATTGTCCCTAGTAATATAAACCATGGAAGGAAGACCAATTGATGATATGTGTGTTTTTCCTTGATCTCAAAACTTTCTATAATGTCTCGCACTTAGGAAAAGATGCAGACAAGATGAAAACTTTAAGCCATTTAGGCTCAAAGTTATCAACACATTTCAAGCATATGAGATTGAGATCACTATTTACAAATTCTCTGGTTGTTAAAAGTAGTCTAGGGAGGATTGCTTATAGAAGTAATTACATGTGTTGATTGGCTATTTGTCAATGCTTACCTCAGTTCATTTACAGTTTGACAGCTTGAAGCTGCAATTTGGTAAACTTGAGCCCCTAGTGCAAAGAGATTCCTATAAATAGCACCTCTCTCATTTTACTCTTATTTGCCAAACTTCAGAGTAAATAGAGACCAGAGGGCATCATTAACACATCTGCTCTTTGGTTTTGATCATGATGGGACATAATTTCACACTAGAAGTCACTGGGGAAGAAGGTGTACTTAGTGGAGATAGGAAAACATTTATCATGAAACTTTATTTGAGAAATCAGATACTTGGGGAATTCTCAGACTATTAAGCAAAGGCCAAATGTAAACCTGAGAAAGAAAACTTTAGCTGATGCAAGATAAGCAAGAGAGTGACCCGTGCCTTAATCTATGTACTTATTTGATTTAGATGTTTATAGATTTGGCACATGAGTGAAAAGCAAGGAGTTTCTCATCTGGAAGATAACAGAAGTCTCAGGAAAACCATTTAACTAACATTACGCCTCAGCCCTGGTTGGCTGATACAGGAAATCCTTAATTAAATACTCATTTGGTTTTCCCTTAATAAGTAATTTCAAATATTAAAATTATAAGTATACTGCATACATCGAATAAGTTAAGCTCCTCTGTCAAAAGAGGGAATGATACAGAATAAGGCCAACGTTTTTCTTAGTAGCAACAAGTTGCCTGTGTTTGGCTGTTGACTTTGTCACCAGTCTCCAGTGGATTGTGACTGTGGGTTGTTAGGAGTCCCTGTGCCTTTACTTTCCTTGATGATTGGCACCGACCATAGTCTCTCTGGTCCTCCTCAAGCCCACTATGAGACCTTGTTGCCCAAAACCCCTTTCTTGCCCCTAGGGTTATTGAAAAGCTGGAATAGTGCATTATGGTATTTCATTAATAAACACTTTTTAAAATTTGGGGGGACAAATGTAGGTTTATCCAATACCTCCTATTATCACTATATTTTCAGAACTGAAAAGAGCATATTAATCCTGGAAATTTAGTAAGGACATAATCTTAGACAACAAACAGTCTATTAAATTGAATAAGTTTTCCAATAGGAAAAGCTCACCACATTATTTTGATTTTCTCACTTTACAATTACTTGTAAAAAGTTTGTCACAACAACACTAAAATTCAGACTGAGGGGATTTGGGAATCCCTGACTTACACTATCAAGGTACCATTAGTTTGAGAAAATATTAAAAAACCAAAATCTCAAGAACCAACTTTAGAAATAAAGTTTTTCCTTGCTGGTTTAAAAATGTTGCATTCTAATCAACATAAAGAAAAGAAGTAAAATCCTTCTAGATGTTTTCATGACTTCAGTAGCAGGTAAAAAGTAGAAATTTCATTGAATTTATATTATTTTGTAAAAAGTTAGAAACAACTGGAATTGTTGAAAATAGAGAAGTGGTTAAAAATATATTTGTATATCTGTGCAAAGTCACATTTTACAGCCACAAAAAGGGATTACTCGTAGCTCAAACCTCAGCATCATGCATTGTATTCAGTTAACAAATGTGTACATATACCCCTGACTCTAAAATAAAGGTTGAAAAACAAAAATATTAATATAAAATAATTTTAGATGATATAATCCTCCCCAGGAAGTATACTATAAGTAACATTTAAAAAAATTATTTGGTTTATATATATTTTATTTTTATATTTTATTTTATTTTAAAAATTTCTTAGAAGTACAAGAATCAGAAAAACATACTTTAAAATATGAAGATCAAGATATTTAAGGATTGGTATATATATTAACAATATAAATAAATTATATCAACAATTATTTAGCAGTAGCATTTAATGTGTGTACTTTTAGTTGATTTTACAAAAGACATATACATATATGTGACAAGGACGTGTATAAATATCTGACAAAATCATTCTAATTTGCATTCTCAAATTCAACCTTATCGTTTCCACCACTGAATAGCTGACTAAGGTACCACTATAAACTCATGGCAGTTCTTCTAAGGGCAGGAGAAGTTATATAAAAGGTAGTCCCTTAAATGCTGGATTTAAGGCAAAGCTGGAATAAGGCAGTAAGAATGGAAAAGATTATACCTGCTGTGTCCCAAATAGGAAATTACCTATAAGCATCATAATTTAACTCACCATACATACTTTGACTCAAGTAACTGAATAAAAATCCATGTGGTTGGTGCATGGGGTTGGTTATGTTGTGTTCATAAATACGATCATCAACTGATTTGCAAAACAGTAAAATATAATAATTCCACTAATTCTATTCCAAAAATAAATTGCACCTAGATGAATCTTTTTGGAAAATTTTACCAAACAGAATCATCTTCAGTGCTTTTCTAAACCAGGGATAGAAAAATGAATAAACCATTGGATTAAATGTAGAGTTCAAGTAGCCAAACCAAATCAATACATCGTTCAAAGCAGGTGGAATAGTGTAGTGCAGAAAAGGGTCCATCACTATACAGACAAAGAAAGGGCACCAGCACACCAGGAAAACTCCCATCACAATCCCCAGTGTCTTCGCAGCTTTCCTTTCTTTGCTCCGTGAAATTCCATTTTTCATTTCCAATCCAATTTGGAGCTTCTGATTGCCATCATTAATTGATCTTGCCTGCCCTTTAGCTGTAAGATATATTCTGTAATAGACACATAACATAATAGATCCAGGTATGCAGAAAGACGTCATAAAGGCCAGTACCCCAGATATTTTGCTAAAGAAGACAGAGCAACCTCCTCTGCAGTGAACATGTTCGTAATATATGTCTTCAACTCCTTTGAAGTTTAGCTCCAGAAAGATCATTCCAAATGCAAAAATAGCGGGGACACTCCAACTAATGAAGATCATCACACAGATAACCAAGATACTGATCCTGGCTTTATATCTCAATGGATCACACACAGCATAGTAGCGGTCAATGGAGATGAAAGACAAGTGGAAAATGGATGCTGAGCTCAGCATAATGTCGGTGCTGGTGTGAATTTTACAGAAGACTTCTCCAAAATACCAACAATGCTCAACAGATCTCACCATGCTGTAAGGCATGACCAAGCACCCCAGAAGAAAGTCCACAGTGGCCATGGAATGAATGAGCCAATTAGTCGGAGTGTGGAGTTGCTTGAAGTGTGATATAGAAATAATAACTATCAGATTGCCAACCAGTGTGGTCAGAATTATGAGCACCATTAAACTGTACAGGGAAGCACGGACATCATTTGACCAGTTGTTTTTCACACAGGAAATATTAATTAGATTGTAGCAAAAGGGCATCTTTCCAGAGGGCTGTCAACCAGTTTACTTTTCCCTTTGTGTGTTGAGTAATCTTTTTTCCAAATTCATAATCAGGTTGCAGTTCCTTGTCTTTTTTAATTTTTATCTGCACATACCTTTCCCAGAATCCTAGGAGAAATAAAAAAGAGTAAATAATTAGCAATTCGATTCCTCTCACTTCTAACACATTTACCTATTACTTCCTGTTGAAGAATAGTTATATTGGAAGAAACTTTATTTCCAAGTTCCATTCAACAGTTCAGCACAGCAATTTTCTTTTAAAACTTTTACCTGGAGCTGGACATTGTTCTAGAAATACAAAGCTAAATTATTAGATTGAACTATATGAAACTGCCACATTTGTAGATCAGAGAAGATCAAACGATTATGATCATACATCTTAATCTATGGAAACAATCTGTGTCCACAGGAAGCCAGTCTAGGGGGGTGACTTACATTCTAAAGCGTAGAAAAAAATTGCCAGAAAATTTGGAATTAAAATATTTTTATGAAAAATAAAAAAGTGTTTTCAATGTGCCTCTTGTGCAGAATTAATATGCACTAGTGCCCACTTTTGCATTTGGTCGCACATAAGTTATACATTTCTTATTTTATAATTAATTAGAATAAAATAAGCTTACATAGCTTTATTTCCAGCTTGCAAAGTACTTCTACATATATTCCATGCATTATTTCAGTTACCCTTTTACTTGAAATTTATAATACCAACATCATTTTTTTGTATGGAAGGCACGACATGCTTTATTAGTTTCATTTTACTGGAAAGAAATTGAAGTTTAATTCACAAATTATTAAAGCTTGAATATGAGCTGTGGTCTCAATTGCTAGTCCATTTTGTTTTATACCAGTCCAGTCTTTCTCTGCATTGCAGAGAAAACCAACGTGAGATCAATTTTAAAAGATTAACCTTTAAATTTTCATATAAGAATATATGCTGTCTTAAATAATGGCACTTACTAGTGAAGTATGATATTGTGGCCCCACTTATTAAAGATGTTTGATATACAGACTAAAGTCTATTGTAAGAAGTGAAGTGGCATGGTGCAAAGAGCACTGAGGTGAGAGGCCCTAGAAGCTGTTTCCATATGGGCTGTGGGCAAGGCATACGATCTCTTTATTTTTTTAAGTTCTGAAACTCAATAAATCCCAACTTATAAAACAGGTAAAAAAAATTATTACAATGAGAAGGCATCTTCTACTAGGCCTCCTCTTCTTGTACTTCACTGAAGAACCTCAAAGTTCCAAGGGACTCAGTTGGAAACTGTCCGGTTTGTTTCTGTATAACCTTTTACTTCTGAGCTAAATTCTAGAACTTGGACTTACACACACACATGCATGTGCACACACACGTACACACACACGTATATAACATATACACAGACATGTACATGCACATATATTCAGATAGAAAGCAGAGAGACAGAGAGAGAAAGAAAGAAAGAAAGAAAGAAAAAGAAAAGAAAAGGGGAGGAAAGAAGGAAGGAAGGAAGGGAGGAAGGGAGGGAGGGAGGGAGAAGGAGAAAGAATAAACAAAAGAAGGAAAGAAAAAGGAAGAAAGAAAGAAGAGAGAAAAAGAGAAAGAAAGGAAGGGAGAAAGAAAAAGAAATGAAAAAAGAGAAAGGAAGAAAGAAAAAGAAAGGAGAGAAAGAAGGAAAGAAAGAAAGAAAAAGAAAGAAGGAAAGGAAGGAAGGAAGAAAAGCAAAGAAAGAAAGAAAGAAAGAAAAGAAAAGAAAGGAGGGGAGGCAGAGCTTGGGGAAAGAGTATACATTTCTAGCAATGAAGTCCCATAGTCTATCAGTTTGGTATGAAAATGCTAGAAAATAGCAACAATTCCTAGAATTCCAGGAGTCCGCCTTCCTTTTTGTCTTCTCCCCCTTCCCTCTGGGCTGATGGCTTAGAAATGAGAGAAATGCAATATTTAGGCTTTATGAAAATATATATTTTAATATATTTGAAACACTTCTCCCCTAATCTCCTTTGGTCTTCTATTCCCAGAAGGAAACATATTTATAACAAATAAATCTGTAAGTTTATTTAAAAAGACACACAGGTACATTCCATTATAGAAACTAAACAGCAAAAAAGAACTGTTATTTAAACTAAGCAATATTTGAATTATGATTAAAATTTCACTAAAACAATGATGGATTTTTTACAATGAAATTTAAGTTTGCATTTAACTAACTCAATCAGTTAAGTTACACATTTTCTAGTTAGACTTTTCCCCCACTATTTCCACCTCTTTTCCTTCTTTCTTTTACTTATTTGTTGACTTACTAAAGGAACCAACACTCATAATCACTGTTTAGAAGCGTCTATTTATTACTGACTCTTAAAAACATTTCTACCTGATGTCTTATTGAGTAGGGTCTCTCAGCAAGAACCAGGGTTCAAAAAGAAGTAAGGGAAGGTGGAAATAAAGCAAAATAAAAATTTCACCTTTAGAAGATGAAAAAACCATCTGGCAACTTCATAGGCCTTGATCTTTGTGGCTACAAAATGAGCAGTCAATTCCCAAATAAAAACCAATATGACCCCTGCCTCAAACTCATATTTGCACATATTGGTTTAAGAGAAATCAAGCCTTAGGCACAGTATCTTAGAAATTGTTGATAGTATGAATGCCACATCTGTAGAATTACTTGTCTATCCAACTTAATATTAAACATCGTTTGTATGAGTGCTTTTTAAACTGTTATAATTTGTTTTTAAATAGATTTATTTGTTTAAATAAGTGCCCTATGACAACATTATCCTTATCTAAGGACCTAGCAGAATAGTGTTTTTGTTTCTTTTCTTTCAGTTTTAAGAATTTGTGAGCTATAAATTATTGTTATCTGTGTATACAAATTATCCAGGTTGAATATACAGTGGCAATATGGGAAGTTAATAAATTGCTGTTTGATTGCCTAGCTAAGCAAATAGTTCTGTGCAAATGATCTAATCGTCTAATGTTTGAAAATGATATATGAATTTAAAAATATGTTGATAGAACTTACAGTTTAAAATAGATCTGTCTAGCAAGGCAGGAACTTCCTGGGAGATTGCCCCAACTTTCCAATAGAAGGTCATGAACCCTAATCCTATCATAACCTTTGTCCCTGATTCCATCAATCACCCATCCCTAACTGCTCAGACTTTCATCTCTATCCTGCTCTACTCATTTCCTATCTAAACCGATTTCCCACTGTACTATTATTCACAAAACCCTTCTAAGTGTGCACTTGGGGACTCATGGTCTTTATTCTATTTCCTAAAATTCTTTTTTAAAGGTTTCCCTCTCTTTGTTCTAATGAAAACTCTCTCCCCTCAGGATACCTTCTCCCCTGCAGTCTTGTCAATGGTGACTACTCTCTCTCCTATATCCCTTGTAGCTCTTCATATTACATGATCTTGAGGAAGAGTAAGTGTCCTCTTAACACTCATTGCGATTGAAGATCATTGTCCCTCTTTCCTCCCTAACCTCTAACCCCTAGCAAGCTTTGAAGTTCATGTCTTCATGCTATACCTCTGTATTAGTTCATTGTCACATTCCTCTAAAGAACTTCCTGAGACAGGGTAATTTATAAAGGAAAGAAGTTTAATTGACTCACAGTTCTTTAGGGCTGGGAAGGCCACAGGAATCTTACAATCATGGTGGAAGGGGAAGTAGACACATCCTTCTTCACATGGTGGCAGCAAGATGAAGTGCAGAGTGAGGTGGGGGTAAAAGCCCCTTATAAAACCATCAGATCTCGTGAGAACTCACTCACTATCATGACAACAGCATGGACATAACACCCCCATGATTCAGTTACCTCCCACCTCGTCCCTCCCACAACATGTGGGGATTATGAGAACTATAATTCAAGATGAGATCTGAGAGGGGGCACAAACCATATCAACTTCCTCCTATTGCAGGCATGTACAGATGTGCCCCATACCCATCTCTTTATGCCTATTCCAAAATACACCCTCCAATTCTCTCTCCCCTGCATCTTCGTGGTTCCCTTCCAAATATCTTCAGTCTCAAATATGTGGTAATATTTTTCACCTTAAAAGCATTATTTAAGCCCACATCTTTGATTTACCAACTACCCTTTTATCAGAAAAGAACCCATTGAGTCATTTATACCCCCTGTCTCTAATTCCTCTAATCTTATCTTTTAAAATTCACTGTAACAAGAATTTCATCATCAACATTCCACCAAAACAGTTCTTAACTAAGTTCTTCCACCCAGTGGTAAGTTCTCAGGCCTCAAGTTCTTGCTTGGTCTTTTAGTTCCCTCTTGAAACAATTTCTTTCCTTGGCTCCTGGGTCACCACCCCCTTGTGATTCTGCTACCACACAGCTGCTCTGGTCAGTTGCTGTCATGGTTCTTCATCTCACTGGCCCTAAGGCTCAGTCCTCAGTTCCCTTCCCTATTCATAATTACTCCCTTGGTGATTTTGTACTGCCTTATGGCATAGTCTATATGCTGATGAGTCTCAAACGAACACTTTCAGCTTCGACCTTCTCCCTGAACTCTGGACTAATATTACCTGCTGCCCAGAAGATATCGCCACTTAACTTGTCTAAAGCCAAGCCCTTGACCTCCCTCTGTGCCTAGCTTTTTCTCCTCCTTTCTACATATCTAGAACATGACAACTCTACTCAACTCTATTCTTGAATGTTCTTCATCCAAACTTTGAGGTAATTCTTAGCTTCTCATCCACACTCAACAACATACTCAATTTATCAATAAATGATCTTGGCCATTCTTTGAAAATATATCTAGAATCAGATCATTTCTACTTTCACCATCTTGGTCCAAGACACCAACAACCTCCAGATTAATCTAATTAACCTCCCAGCTGGTTTCCCTGCTTCTCTTGTTTCCCCACAGAAAGTATCCCCAACAGGCAGCCAAAGTGATCACATAAGTACCGACATTTTTAACATAAATTCTTCCAGAATGGTAGAACATGAGTCTCAAATATAAAAGGACAGCAGCATAAAAAATATGCCCAGAGCCAATACTAAGACATTGCCAGCCATGCATCCCTATCAAGCCAAAGAAAGCTGCCTGGTGACATGCTGTATCTGTGCCTGCCTGGTGTTAAGACCACACTTCTCACAATGTCTCTTG